TCTTATAAATGTGTTAGAAATGATCGCAAGAATTTTGGAGTGCTAGCGGGTGTGCAGGCAGCCAGTTGTTACAAGTGCCTGCAGCCTGCAAATACACTTAGAACAGTTAAGCAGTCCAGAGAGGAAAGAAAGAACAATACCAACAAACCAATTCAGCTCCAAAGGAATGCTGAATTGGGACGCCATGGGAACTGGCGAAGAGTCCAAGGAGACAGGATATGGGAGACAGGACATGAACACATGGCATGGCACCCTGACACCTGAACTGTTCTGAGCCTAAATAGGGTCAGGCCAGGTGGCAGGATCACAGGAAGCTCTCAGTCCCAGAGAATGGACTGACAGGGTCAGTAACCTATCAGCTAACTGTCTGCCCCTGCCTCCAATGATTTGGGCACGCCCATCACCTGGAGAGTGGGGGCTTCACCTTCTCTCACCATGAGGACAAGATACCATACCCTACCATCAACCATGTGACCAAGATGGCACTGGTTAGACCCAGTCTCCCTACTTCAGTTTGAAATGAGATAGTACTTAACTGCTGAAGAAGCCCAGCCTGGTGCTGTGACATTGATTTATGACAGAGAAAGTGAATGCTGTTTTCCACTCTGTTCATGACACTTTGAGACTAAGTCACAGTGAACTTGTATGAAGATGTAGAGGTCTCTGTTGGCTTATGACTTTTGGCATAAAATCCTGGGAGCCTTTGAGTGTAGAACCACTGAATTGTTCCAGGGATCTAGGAATTTTAAGAGCTGCTGGAAGAACATGCACACTCGTAGGTTTAGTGTTAATTCTTCATGTGCCAAATTATTTATTAGCCACTAAAAGAGGAAGCTGTCACCAATCTTCAGCCTGAATTCACTACAAAGTCATGCCAAATTACTGATGGAATTTCTGCTGACAGTTCTGTCAGTAGATCAGAAAAATATAAATTGCTGTACATTTTGATCATCTGAACTTTGATAGGAAAAGTATATCTTTGTGATCGTAGCAGCAGAATCAAGAAAGAGCAAATTGATGTTAATAGAATTAGTTGGAATAATATTGTTTGGCTGTGTTGGGGCTCAGGAAATTATGTCCCAAAGTGTGATTCTTTGGCACATTGTATACTTGAGAGAGACTGGGAAACCTTAGCAGCAGCCTCAGAAACGGTCTCTGACCTTTCACTGATCTCCTGCTTACTTTGTTTTATACTCAGTGAGTCATGAAGCCAGAACTTCTTCCCCAAGCTGAACCATAGAAACTGGAACTCCACTCTCCCAAAGCAATCCATAAAACCTAAGAAGATCAGTTTGTCTTCTCCCTTAAAGACCTTCATTCTGGACAAGTTCTGTCCATCATTTGCAGAAGGAAAGAATGCTACTTGTAAAGAGCAAGAAGAATCTTAATAGACAAGTCCTATTTGTTTCCCCTCACTATTACTCTTTTGTTCAATCACATTTCTACAGGGCTGTTCATTTTACTTTGAGCCTAAGAATTACAATATAATAATTTCCCCAAAGATTGTGGAGCTTATTTCTGAAAGTGACTCCATCATATGAAACTTTGATTAAATACATTGGTTAGACTTGTGTCTTGTTGACCTGTCTTTGTTGTGAGAGTATTGATTGGAACCCTAGTGATAGATGAGGATAGGAATCACATTATTTCTGTCCCTACAGATCTTTTCATACATTTTTGTCAGTGTATTAATGGGAGAGGGGATACTTCCTCTGAGGAGGGGCAGGATTGTGATGGTGCCTTTTTTCTACCACTTTATCTCATAAATCCTTTTTAGAGGCTATAATTTTTTTTTAATTTGGTAAGTCAGCTTTCTGGTGGAAGCACTGTAGTATAGTTTAACCAAGGGTGTCATGATACCTATTTGCATCTTGAAGATAGGGGACAGCACTATCTCCTTTGAGCTGACCTCACATTTACATCTATAATCTAGGCATGGGATTGACTAGCAATCTACATCCACTGGCAATACTATTTGTCAACACAGTTTTGATATGGCTGTGAATGCAGGTCCAGCCCTGACAGCTGCCTGGAATAGTGCTATTTTATGTTGTTAGTTAGGTGTTAAACATATAAGTGAACTTTAAAAATACAGAAGAATTTAGGATAAAGTATCTTTTTTTTTTTTTAGTGAAGTTGACTTGTTCAAGAAGAAAATTTAACTAAAGAGAATGGCCCCCACACTTTTCTTAACAGGAATTAAATTAGGACTATGCGGGGACAAGTTTCCTTAACAATATAGAATGAAACCATACTGTTACAAAAGATTGGGTGTATTCTTTTTAAAGTATGGAATCTTTGGGTTTTAAAAAAATAATGGATTATTGTTTATAAATCACTGTTAAAATTTAATTGTGATAATTTTACATGGAAAAATTTCAACACAATTAAAAAGTTTAAACTTATTTTACTTTTTTTAAACTTAAAAAAAAAATCCTTGGGCTGGGAAGGTGGCTCAGAGGTAGAGTGCTTGCCTTGCATGCTTGAGGTCCTAGGTTTGATTCCTCAGCACCACATAAGCAGAAGAAAAAAAAAAGCCAGAAGTGGCGCTGTGGCTCAAGTGGTAGAGTGCTAGCCTTGAGCTGTAGAGCTGAGGGACAGTGCCCAGGCCCAGAGTTCAGGCTCTACAACCGGACCCCCCCAAAAAAATCCTTAATCTGTTACCTGTGAACAGTACTATTTCATTATATCCCTGCTCTGTGGTTTCTATTTCTTGCAAAATATACATATTGATAAATTTAGGAAGCAACAATTTATTTACCAACATGGCTTTGGTTTACATTTTAATTGTGGAAGAGCTAATTATCTCTGAAGATGACTTATGCTTTGTAACTATACATTTTTGTGTCTGAAGAACATTTACTTTTCTCTTTTTATAAGAGAAGAAATGGGGAGATCAGGAGAGAAGGAAGTATTGCACAGCTCCAGGCCAAGCAAGAGTTTCTAATCATTGAGAAATTTTAAAAATTAAGGGGCAAGTTAATTAGCAAGTCTTCCTCTGATTTAACCTTCCTAGAAATTAGTTGTTATATCAGAGGATTATTCTTCCCCAATCCTAACTCTTATGATTATACTGAAGTTCATATCATGACTAATTCTTAGAGAGAGAGAGGAGGGGAGGGAGAGAGAGAGAGAGAGAGAGAGAGAGAGAGAGAGAGAGAGAGAGAGAGAGAGAAAGAGAGTATATGTTTGGAATGAACCTGTTTTATGATTTTTTGTCCACATATTTAAATATAGAGGTCGTTAATAAAAATTACCTATTAACATGGTAAAACTGGTTCCTGCAGCCATTAATATTAACTTTATGAGTCTTTTTTTGAGTCAGCTTATTTTTTAAATGAGCAATCTTTCATCACGTATATAATTTCTTCTATATAAAGGTATCAATTAGTCTTTTTTGTTTCCTGCATTGTCTCTAGTCCTTCAAGTCCCATTTTTCCTGCTTGTTTTTGCCTTATTTTGGCTAGTGATCTTCGGCTGTCCTTTCACAAATAAGTGCCATCTTGCTACCTGCTATGCTACTCTTTGGAAGTTCTGTGACTTCACTGTTTTCCTCTTGAGTGGTACCTTCACTATAAGCATCTGAGAGTCTCATCTCTGAGAAGTACTGATTGTGCCCATCTACTTTCCATCTCACATCCATCAGCTCATATCTCTTTGTGGCTCCCATGTCTCTCTAGTTTGCTTTAGTCTGAATTTTACCACTGAAAATATTTTTGTTCACATTTTAGTGGTTATTCAGGAGTATAGAAAGAAAACATATATGAAACCTGCCATATTTAATCTAAATATCTTTCTCCAACACATCAAGTTTCAAGATCATCCACTTCAAGTCTCACACATCCTATGAAAGTTTTCTCCACATTTCTGGATGCTGAGGATGTTCTATGGTATTTCTGTGAAATGAAGGATGTGTCAGTTTACACTGCTTTCCCTTCTATTTCTTTCTGTATCCATACAATTGAATGACTGTATTGCCTTATTGCTTTGTCTTACCTTTAAAGTTTGAAGCAGTTATTAAAGAACTTAATCTCATTCTATTCAGTGTACTTGTTTTACTTGTTTGTTTGTTTTTTTGTCTGTTGTATGTAGGGCTTGAACTCAGGGCATGGGCACTGTCCTTGAGCTTTGCACTCAAGACTAGCACCCTACTACTTTAAGCCACAGCTCTACTTCTGGTTTTCTGGTATTTAACTGGAGATAAGAGTCTCATGGACTTTCCTGCCCTGGCTGGCTTTGAACTATGATCCTCAGATCTCAGCCTCCTGAATAGCTAGGGTTACAGGCATGGGCCACCAGTGCACAGCTTGTTTTATTTGTTAAATACTATTGGTTACAAAGAGTTCATTTGGTAGTTACCATCTTTTAAAAGCATGTGATATTGTGGGAGTAAGAAGAATTCAGGTCACTATGAAACATGATCTTGAAAGGGAATCTGTGGCAGTAGTGATGGGGAAACAATTGCAGAAACAGAAAGTGACTTCCATAGGTGAGAGAGCACCAGTTTTTTGAGACAGAAAACAAATTTTGATTTCATGAAACTTGATATTTATGTTAAAGATAGTACCCTGTAAGGAATTTTGTGTGGGTGACAGGGTAGGAGTACAGGGGCTTGAACTCAGGATCTCAGGTTCTCACTTAGCTTTTTTGCTCTAGATTGGTGGTCTACCATGTGAGCCACTCTTCCACATCTGGTTTCTTGCTGGTTAATTGGGGATAACAGTCTCATGGATTTGTCTATCTGAGCTGGCTTCAAACCATGATCCTTTGGATTTCAGCCTCCTAAGTAGTTAGGATTATGGGTTTAACCACTGACATTCAAGAATTTCATGTTTTTGGCATCACGTTTGAACCATGAGATAGGAGTGTGTCATTTAGTATATGTTTCACAAGTGTCTCTTACAGGCTGGAAAAGCACTGCAATGTCAGATATTATAAAGGTAATGGCTTCTTAGCCTCTCAAAAAATGTAACAGAAAGGTCTTTTTCTCCCCCACTTAGGTTTTCCTTGCTGCTGCTTAACTTGGAGGAGTACTACTTTGAGCAGCACACAGCTAATTATGTTCAGCATGTGGGCAGTCTCGAGGAAAGGTAAGAGAGCTGTGGAGGCCTCCACCCTCCCAAACACTTGTGTTGCCTGATACTCGTAAAATTTAATGTAAGATCACACAGGGATTTTCACTCTTCTTTATTACCCAGAATGTAATAAGAATGTAGTGTTTTTTAAAACAAAAAAGCACTCATTCTTATTTCTGTGAAGTTCTAGGATAGGACCTCATCACTTTGTTCTTCATCCCTCTCTGTAGTCCAACAAGACTCCCAGGGCTGTATATATGAAGCAGAAATGACCACATAGGGTCAATTGCTGATGCAATTGGTGATTGATATGTAGGTGTCTGTATTTGAGAATGTTTATAAATTTTACAATTTTAATTTTAAAGTTACTGAAAAACAAAGGAGGAGGTAACAATGCTTGATAGGAAATGTACTCATTACCTTGCTCATGTAACTGTAACCCTTCTGTACAGTATTTTTACAATAAAAACATATTAAAAAGTTATTATTGGGTAAGTTTGAGTATTAAAGTACATGCACTAAGTACCATGAAAAAAATGTAGCATAAAATTTCAAAAACTCTGACAAAAATTATAAACCTTCAATATGATAAGTTTTCTTATATCTATCTTATCTCTCTCTCTCTCTCTCTCTCTCTCTCTCTCTCTATATATATATATATATATATATATGTATAGCACTGAATATGGGAAGCTAAAGCTGAAGCATATATTTTCCTTCCCACAAAAGTATGGGTGTGTTTCCTTAGATGAGCAAGGAGGAGAAATTCTGAGAATATGAAACCGAATTTTTCAATGTTATTTTTGTTTAAATAGTTTTCAGCTAGTAGGTACTTAAAATTATATGTATATGTGGATATACAGTTGTCTCCAGTATCCAGAGGGCATTGTTTCTTGGACCTCCACAGATACTAAAATTCTTGAGTTCCTTCTGGTATAATATTTGCATATAACTGACACACATCCTCTTGATTATGTTACCTATAGATTACATTGCCTATATATCACTTCATTCTCATGGATTCAGCACAATACTCTGCACATAGAAAATTCAAGTTTTGCTTTTGCAACTTTCTGGAATTATATATATATGTATATATATATATATATATATATGTGTGTGTGTGTGTGTATGTATGTATGTATATTGATCTGATGATGTTGGCTCAATCTGTGGATACTGGACTTGGGATATGGATGGCCAGCTGCAATTGGTTCAGTTAAGTCAGGGAGACAAGAGAATCTTAAGATGGACAAAGTGAGGGAATTTTCAAGGACACCAGTGAATGGCTAGAGAAAAAAAAATCCAACTGGCATTGAAGTGATTTTAAAGAACAAAGTGTCTTTAAAATTATGCCTATAGATAAAACCTATTCTTGGAAACTGAACACGAAGTGAATTTTTTTAACTTAAATTTTATTATCTCCTAACCTAGCTTTTAACTTCATAATAAACAATTGTCTTGGTTTGATCCATAAGAGAAAAATAAAGTGTGTAAATTTTCATTCGATTCAGGAAGATGATACATTTTAGCAAAAACTAATAGCTGCTCCAGAAATACTTGGGTATGTTTCTTTCCAAACTTATTAAAGGCACATAAATGTCCCAGATATGATAAAGTCCGTACAGCATTTATTTGATATTACAATAGTTGCTATATAATCTTAAAAATGCTTAATTATAGTGAAAATTTTTTCTGGAGTTTCTCACCAAAATCACTGTCAAAAGCATTTTATGTGCTAAATTCAAACTTAATTTTTCTATCATTTAAAAAAAAACTCTTTTCTTAATCCATTTTAACTGCTTAGTATTGCTCTATAAATAGTTCTTCCAGATATGTAGAATTGAAAGCCAACAGAATTTACTAAAAAGATGGTAGATACAGCATTTGTTAATGTTCCTGGTCCCTAATTTTCCTTGTGGAGTAGTTGTGAAGACAAAATAAAGCAATAAAGTTGGAATATTACAACATGCACAAATTTCTCAAACCTCTAGGATTGTGGAGGAGATAAGGGGAGGTGGTGGTTATTTGGTTTCCAGACTCTGAGCCTGGGCAGTGTCCCTCAGCTCTTCAGCTCAAGACTAGCATGCTACCACTTGAGTCACAGCACCACTTCCGGCTTTTTCTCCTTATGTGGTGATCGAACCCAGGGCCTCATGCATGCGAGGCACGCACTCTACCATGGAGCCACCTTCCCAGCCCCTGTCATACCTTTCTTTTTAATCATGTTGTTGAATTTTTATTAGCTAATGTCTTAGAGTCTACTTTCTAGTTAAAATACATATATATATATGTATATATATCATTACTAATTTGTGACTCTTCTATTGTGATTCCTAGGAAAATCAGAGGATCTTTAAAAATATGTTCAAAATCAGTTATTTTTGAACCAGATAAAATCTCCCAGCCCATCATTAAGGTAAATACATTTTAAGTGTGAAGAGAAACATGTTGTAACTTTTATTTGTATATTTTATCTTTGCTTTCTATATTTTCTCTAAATTTTATCCAGATTCCTTTGAGAGATTGTATCAAAATAGGAAAACATGGAGAAAATGGAGCCAATAGACACTTTGCAAAGTATGTCATTTTCACTAACTTAAATTTTACCTCAGTCAAAAAGTTTTATATATCTGATGACTTTTATCTATATTCTAGGGAAAAATCTGGAGGAATTTTAATCATTTTCAGTCAGGTAAGAAGCAACTTCCAACTTATGTGAACATTTGTACATGTACATGTGTGTGTGTTTATAATTTTTCACATGATGAAATTGGTAGAAATCTAAAATAAAGATCTAGAATAGATGTTTAAATGCATTTAAATTTTAATCATTGAGAAATAAATATATATATTTAAAGATGTGATCCCCAATAGACTCTTCAGTGTTGACAAAGTATGCAGTGTGTGTAGGTTTATGGTTAGCTCAGACAACGTGGGAGGGTTGAGATGAAGCAATGGCAATTCTTCCTGTGGCCTCCTAGTCATCTAGAAGATGAAAAAGCAGTGCCATGCTACTTAAGGAAGTCAGCCTGACTCATGACAACCCAGAAATGATGCAAGGTGGGTAGTCATGAGTCATGGGTAGTCATGGGTATCATGATCCTTATGCTATGGTCTTTGTTCATTCCAGATATATTCTTTTTGTTGTTGTTGTCTTTTTGCTGGTCGTGGGGTTTGAACTAAAGGTCTCCACTGTCCCTGAGCTAGCACTTTACTACATGAGCCACAGTGCCACTTGTGGCTTTTTTTGAGTAATTTATTTGAGAATGAGTCTCATGGGGTTCCTCAGATCTTAACCTCCTCAGTAGCTAGAATTACAGGTGTAAGCCACTGACACTCTGCTTCAGATATATTCTTTATTCATTTATGCATCCACTACTATGCTCAGTAGAATAGTAGCATTAGAAGGCAGAATAAAACGTAGTTTTCCTGCTGTCATATAATTAGTTTATGTATAGATTTTTCTTTTGAATTTAAAGTAAGAATGAAATAAAGATCTACTACTTCTTTTGGCTCTGGACTTTTCCTTCTTTCTTAAAATGATGTAGCTGTGTTGCCTTGACTCACAAAGCTTTATTTCATTCATTCATTTACTTAATTTATTGTGCTGGTCCTCAGGCTTGAATTCAGGGCCTGAGCACTGTCTCTTTTTGCTCAAGGCTGGCACTCTACCACTTGACCCACAACTCCACTTCCAGCTTTCAGGTGGTTCCTTGGAAATAAGCGTCTCACAGACTTTTCTGCCCTGGTTGGGTTTCAGTTATGACTGTCAGATTTCAGCCTTCTAAGTATCCAGGATGAAAGGCATGAGCTACCATCACCTGTCTATTTGTGTTTTGTTTGTTTTTTAATTTGTTGTGTAAATGTGTTTTAACTCCACAGGTCAGATGAGTACATTGCATTTTGATCTATGTTACTTTTCCATTGTTCTCATCTTTCTCCAACCCACCTATACCCAAAGTTATATAGTTCAACTTTTACATAATATATTTTGATTATAATGTCTGTATTTGTATTTGTTCACCCTTCCTCCCTCCTTTCATTTGGAATTCCAAATCTTGCATTGGTGAGTTGTTCAGAGAGACATGAACCAAGAAAGTATAAGAAAAGCTGCTGGAGACAAAGTTACCCAGATGTCTTGTTTCAGAACTTAACTCAAAGCTTCTTATGTAACAATACGTAGAACAACTAGTGGAGGTCACTTGGGAGTAGGAGAGAATAGACTCAGCTTGCTGTGAATCACTGAATGCTTTGAGTCAGGAACACTTTTTTTTTGTGGCAACAAAGAAAAAATATCTCTTGAGGAAACACTTTTTAATATGCATTGAAATTTGTTTTATGAAAACTGGGAAAATTCAGATTAGGTAATTTTCTGGCAGAACTATTTAAAAAAATAAAATATAAAAATATTTCAGGAGCTGTCTTCAACTTCATATTGTCTAACTAGTATCATATTCTAGAGAACACCAGTATTAATAATTCTGTTCAGTTCTGTAGTCACATGTATTTTATCACTTTGTGACCTTTTTCTCAGTTTTTGATGGAAGAGGTGCCTTGTCAGTTGGACATGTCATTTTCGTTAGAAAAGGATCCATTTTAGCAAAGTTCTAATAACTTCAGGATTTGAAATAAAGCCCCCCCACATCCTTTTACCTATTTTTAATAGTTTGTAGAAGAGATTTCAAATCAAAGCGGCTGAAAATCAGCCTAACATCAAGGGAGACATAGCTACTCTTTTAAGAATTACTTTAAGCTTCTCATGTTAAGTGTACTACTGGGCAACTTTTGTGTTTGTTGGTTTTTTTTTTATTATTTCTAGGTTACAAGTCAGAAACATAATACTTTAGATGTAGTTTTACCTCCAATTTTTTTGTTACTGCTAGAATAACAAGGTGTATGTGTATGTGTGTGTGCATGCACGTGTGTGCACGCATGCACACAAGTATTAGGTTTTAATCATTGATCCAGTAAATATTTTACTCATGGCCCCCCAAAAGAAGATGTTTAAAGCCTTATCTCCATGAACTTTTCTTTCCAATAGAGAAGACAGACAGTCATATGTCTTCTCCAATGTCAGATAATGATGAATGTTACAAAAAATGTAAATAAGACGAAAGGTATTAAAAACCTATAGGATCCAGGCACTGATGGCTCACGCCTTTAATCCTAGCTACTCAGGAGGCTGAGATCTGAGGATTGAGGTTCAGAGCCAGCCCAGGCAGGAAAGTCCATGAGACTCTGATCTCCAATAAACTACCAGAAAACTGGAAGTGGCGATGTGGCTCAAGTGGTAGAGTGCTGGCCTTGGGCTGAAAAGTTCAGGGACAATGCGCAGGCCCAGATTTTAAGCCCCATGACCCTCCAAAAACAATAATAATAAAATAAAGAACGATAGGGAACAGTACTGTGTTGCAGTGTTACTTTACATAGAGTGGTCAGGGATCCCTTGCTGAGAAGTTATCATGTGACAAGAGACACAAGGCAGGCACAAACCTGCCTTGTAGGCTTAGAGAGTTAGAATTCCAGAGATAGTGGGACCTCCCCCCCTCCCCCTGCCCAATCACTGAGGTAGTTGTGGCACCTAGGTGTGAGTGCACCAAGGCTGGGAGAGTCAGGGAAAGTGCGGAACAGGGGAGCCTTAGTAAGCCTTGAGAATAAGGAACAAAACAGAAAGCCATTTGGGGAGCTGGGAGAGAAGTGGGGAAAAAAGGCTTTACTAGCCTCAAGAAAAGTCTCCAAGCAGGGAAACACATTTGTCTAGGTTTCAGAGAGAAAGCTGATGCTAAGAAAGATGAAATGGAGAATTGGAAATTTCCAGAGAGTTGGACAAGATTTGTCAGGGGCTCAGTGTAAGCAGGGAGGTCCACAGACTAACAGCTTAAAGTTCTAAAGCATTAGAGGTTGGGAGGAGAGCCGGGCTCAAAAAGGAGACAAAGAGCAGGCTCCCTTGGAAGAGACCTAGAAAATGATTTTGGATCCGCTAAAGGCTCTTTCATAGGTTCTGGAAAGGACAGCCAAGGAAGTCATAAGAATTGTCTGTTGGATTTGTGACCTGGAGGTCTTATATACCTTACATGATCATCAGAGGAGTAGATTCAAAAGGATGGTGGGGTGAGAACCTATTATAGGCCCAAGAGTAGATACAGGCAGCTCTAGCAAAGTGTTTTGCCACAAAAGGGAATAGGGAAATAGCCAAAGGAGGATGTGAGACCAACAGGGTGTGGTTACCTGTGGCATGTGTAAAATGGAAGAGGATGCGATGTGGAGTCCTAGGGACACAGTTATTGTTTGACTCACAAGTGGATGCCCACATTCTATGCCCAAGTAGAGAAGCTGGCCTTTGAGACTCCAGGCTGCCCTTCATTGTGAACGGAGGAAAGGAAGGGTAAGGGTACAGGTGTGAGGAGGTCCATTATCTGGCAGATGCTGTTTCTTGTGCTACAGAATTAATATAAGTAGTGAGGACTAGTGGCCAGGTATGAACACCATGCATCCAGCTTTCCTTGAGGGAAGAGATGTTTCATACATTTTCTACCAGTGACTGTTTTACCCCTTTCTTATCTAAGCAGTGCCTAGATGAGCTTCCTTCTGGTCTATGTGGTACAAATTATAGCATTCATTTACCCAATAACTGTTATCATTTTGATGCCTTGCTGGATCTTTTTAATTACAGAACTTTAAAATCCTACTAATATTAATGAAGATACTTTTGTGACTATGTTACAGTGATTTAAAACATTTCATTTTATAGCTTTCTAATGTATACTTACTCTTAACAAGGAAAGTTTTTGATATTTCACAAATATTGGTTTGTCTTTCTCAGGTATATTTCATTAAAGAACATAATATTGTTGCACCATATAAAATAGAAAGGGTAAGTAAAGTGTTTCTTATAATCCCAGAAATTTATATAGTGCTTTTAAGCAGTACGATTTTGTGATTCTCTTACCATTTTTAATCAAATCTAGTAATATTGAGTACCTCAAAGCTTATCACACAGTTAAAATTATCCTAGAGAGTTACAGATTTAAGGGAGTACAGATTTTAGACCAAGAGAATTCAATTCACTTGGACCAATGTCTGATTCTTAGCACTAGAACATGTCTGGTTCCCTAGGACTTTTCAAAGAAACATACAGGCATTCTTTCAACTCTTCTTTAAAAAAAAAACAAAACACAACATTGTTCTGGTCCTGGTGCTTGAGCTCAGGGACTGAGTACTGTTCCTGAACTTTTGTGCTCTAGGCTAGTGCTCTTAGGCTAGTGCTCTTACCGTTTGACCCACACCTTCACTTCTGGCTTTTTGGTAATTAATTGGAGATAAGTTTCAGCTGGGCTGGCTTCAAACTGGTATCCTCAGATCTCAGCCTCCTGACTCGAATTACAGGAATGAGCCACTGGTTCATGGCTCTTTTAACTCTTCTTGTGCTTTAATTCTTTCCATTCCAGATTAATATAGGATAAATAGATGACTTCTGAAGGAGAGTTTTTATAGGACTTATGGACATGGCTAACTCTGAATTACAAAAGCTACTCTGGGAAAACACAGCTTCACAGGTTGAATTGTGGTCTTAGTTTTGTGGCCAGCAGCTTATGGAATGCAGAAACTGTATATGTAGTATCCTGGAGTTTACAGGCAAAGCAGTACTTTCATGTGCTGATTACTCAGAAAGATAAACACTAATCACACACAGGAGATGCTGTGGTGATTTTGAATGGTTCTTTACTGTGTGGGATTATCCTTTCTTTCTTTTCTTTCTTTTTTTCTTTTGTCAGTTGTGGGGCTTGAACTTTGCAAAGGCCTGGGCACTGTCCCTGAGCTCTTCAGCTTAAGACGAACAATATACCTCTTGAGCCACTTCTGTCTTTTGGTGGCGTATCAGAGATAAGAGTCTCACAGACATTCTTTGCCTGGGCTGGCTTTGAACCATGATCATCAGATCTCAGCCTCCTGAGTAGCTAGGATTACAGGCATGAACCACTGGGTCCCCAGCTGGATTATCCTTATCGCCTCTTCTCATCTCTCAAAACTGCTCCCTGTTGTTGTGACAGCATTTGAGTACATTGATCAAAGCCCTAAGGCTTTTCTCCCCACTACTCATGGGTTGCTTTCCCTCTAAAATCTGTACTGAGACTACCTGCACTGCAAGTGCACCTAGGGTATAATCTACACTTGCAAATACATGTTTTAGGGTTCTTAAGAGAAACAGAAATACACATGTATGAGAATATATGCCACATGTACACACATAGGGATGTATGTCAAGAGGTTATTATAAGGAATTGACTCATGTGCTAGTTGCCCCAGGAGAGCTAATGGTCTAAGTTCTAGTTTTAAGTTGAAGAAAGACAAATAGTACAGTTTGAAGACAACCAGAAGTTTTTGTTTACACTTAAATCATTTATTCTGGACAAATTATATAGGGATGGTCATTCAGCTTTCCTTATTCTATGGATTAAAGTATTAGTTTTATTCAGAAACATTCTCTCTAATACACACCTAGAAATAATATCTCAGCTCTGTATGACTGGTTGTCATACAAAAAATAGCCATTGCAGTACATATTAACCCATCCTCAGAGCACCTAGGTATATGAAGTAACAGAACTGAAAACAGAAACAGATATCAGTGCAGGATCACAGGAAATTTACATATTCCTCTTTCAACAACATGGAGAACACTGATGAGGAAACAGAACTTGAACACTGTGGACCAAATAGACCTAATAAGACATATACAGCACATTTTCCAAAAGCCACAGAACACATCTTCCTCTCAAGCACATGGGACATTCTCCAAGACAGAGCGTATCGTTGATCACTAAAGTCTTTACAAATTTAAGAAGATTGAGTCATCTTTTTTGTCCACATTGAAATGAAACTAGAACTCAAAAATACACACACACACACACACACACACACACATCCATTGACACATTCTAGACAACAGTAGATCACAGACAAACCAGCAGTGAAATTTAAAAATACCTAATATAAATGGAAACAAAGCAAAACAAAAACAATGTACTACAATATATGAAATTAGAAGCAGTTTTGATGGAATTTTATAAAGATAACTGCCTCCATTAAAAGAAAAGAAATCTCAAGATAAAAATCCTAACTCTACCTTTCCAGGAGTCAGAAAAAGAAGAGCAGACTTGAGTCCTCAGTAGTGAAAGGCAATGAATAAATAGGCTCACAATGAGTCTGTAGGCTCCTGAGGGCTCTCATTCCAGAGACCTTAGGCAGGAGTAGGCAGTGTTATGCAGATGATCTTAAAGCAACAGGGCTGGTATGTGGCTTTTCTTGTTGTTTTGAAATCTTCCCCTTTTGCCAGGGTAAAATGGAATATGTCTTTGAGTTGGATGTTTCTGGGAAGGTCGAAGATGTTGTGGAGACATTGTTGCAGGTAAGCCCTTGACTCAGACACTGAGGCAAAAACTGCTTTTGAAATTCCACATTCAGATTTTCTTATTGCCTACATTAATTTTGTTTAACTCAGAGCTTGGACATTATCCCTTAGCCTTTTCACTCAAAGCTGGTGCTCTATCCCTTGAGCCACGGCTCTACTTCTGGCTTTTCTGGGGGTAGTTAACTGGAAACAAGAGTTTCACAGGTTTTCCTGCTCAGGCTTGCTTTGAACTGCGATCCTCAAATCTTAGCCTCCTGAGCCACTAGTGCCCAATTTAACCTCTTCTTAAAATAAGTTGCAGATTTACTTAAATACGTTGAATTTGAAAACTATTAGGAGGAAGCCATAGACATATCATAATTACTGCTGATATTCCTGTTGGCACATGATGGCATGGATAGCTGATGATGTTTGTTGCTCCTTAAGAAATAACTTGCTATCACCTTCCAGGAAAACTAATCATGTGTGTTTCTGGTATTTGTAGCTTCACAGAGCATCCTGCCTTGACAAACTAGGTGACCAAACAGCCATGGTAAATGCTTCTAACAATTGTTTTTTGGGTAAATAAACTTACATTGATATTTTATTATACATATTTAGATCTGCTACTTTTAAAACTGGTTCTCTTCTCACAGATAACAGCTATCTTGCAGTCTCGTTTGGCTAGGACATCATTTGATAAAAACAGGTAAGTTGGTTTTTTTTTTCAGATTTTGTTTCCTCATTAGGAAAACAGTGGACATTTTTATTGTGGGCCTCATTGAGCATGATCAGAATGGCCTTGGGTTCAATCTCCAGCACTGCAGACAAGCAAAAAGAAATATTGACTGAAAAGAAAAGAATATGGGAAAGCAAAATTGAAATAGTCTTAGAAAATGCTGCAGCTTAAGAAGATAAGAAATCTGTGGGACTTCTTCCTCTTTCCTCCCCTCAGCTATTTATCACCCAGTTGTCTCTCCAGCCTGTCTGCTTCTGTTTTTGCACGGGAATTACCCCAGTTCAGGCCACTGTCACCTTCCACTCAGAACACCATAACAACTTTTAGTCTTTCCACCTGACTCATGACTCCTATCTTCCCTCCTGTCTTTATCCCTAGACCTAATGTCCTTTTCAAAGCTGCTTTTTACTAAAGAACCTGCTCGTTACCTCATTTGCCTGTGGAATATTCTTCAAGCTGTGCCATTGCCATCAGTGAAGACTTTTCCATGGGCCAGTGCTCTTGAATGCCCGTGTTTTTCACTACTCTCATTGGCTATTTGTTTCCCTGAGTTCAGTGCTCTACCTTCTTGCAGTACCACATTTGTCGGTTGTAAGTTGACTTACTTTGATATTTTACTTATACATACTTACATTTACTATTTTAAAAAAATGGTTCTCTTCTTATGTGTTCCTTTATCTATGAGCTCTTGTTCGCTTTTCCTCTGCTTACAACATATACCGCCTTCTCTTTTGCATGTGAACAGCTCTCATTTATTTCACCTTAGCTGTCAGTTCTTCAAGCTAGTATTTTTTTGCCTGCTCAAGTTACATTAAACTCTACATATGCCCTACAGGGACCGAGAGTGATATTATGCTAATGGTTTTTGCATTGAGTTTTTGAGTATTCAAAAGTGTACAATATATTTTCTACAAATAATGGTAATTTATGTTATCATGTTCTTTCACTCTTTCTTCCTTAATATTTGGTCTATTTGAATTTTCATTTCTGTGTACCCTATGTTCACAGCAACTTTGTGTCTAATAGTTCAGGGTCTCACATCTTATTTTCCTATTTTAACAATGTATTCGTTGTTCTTGGTCTGACTTCTTTCTGTATGCATTTGCATCAGCTTGTCAGTTTCCATAAAATGAAATCTTTGGATTTGCTTATGATTGCAGTGAATCTTATAGTGTTTTATCTCTTTACTTGAATCTTCTTTAAAAACCTTTCATGGTTTTCTTCTTGAAAGTATTTTCTGTCTTATATTACATTTTTTTAAAAAGTATCTTATTTTTGATGGACTTATTAATGGTCTGTCCTAAAATTTCATATTCTAGTTGTTCTTGATACATACAAATGAATAGATTTCTATCTACTTGTCCTGTCCCATCAACCTGTGATCAATTCCACTAGCTTTAGACTGTTTATATGTGTACAGTCTCATCTATGAGCTATTTCCAAGTCTATTTGCGAGCATTTTTATTTTGCTTATGTAATCATGCTTAGGAAGAAGTAGAAAGCATTGATTGAGTAGATTAATTCATTTATGGATGATTATGTGCTAGGCTTTCACAGGAGCTTATGTTTATAAATAAGACTACTTTGTAATATTCTATTTCCATCTTTGTGAGATTTGAGAATTAGACTCATCCTGACCCTTACCCTACATTATCACATGTTAAAGAGCTTACTACTAAAGCTGTCAAGCTAGTAAGTGGTTTTTGTGTTTGTGTCACTTGTACTATTAATTTTTGTTCTATTTTTCTAGAGGCAGATTTATTAGGTTCTTAAATTGCTGAGGTAGAAATAGTTTCCATCCTAGAAAGGAACAGAAATAGTAGAAAAAAAATCACCTTCTCCTGACCTATTTTGAGTATATAATTTGTTTAACTAGTTATTTATACTCACATGTCTGGGCATCAGCATGACAGTGTTTAAAAGAAGTGGTTTTCTAGGAAAGCTAAAAATTTCCCAGTCTCTGAAATGTTAGGCTGAGGAATCTCAAGGATATTTTTTGCATTTATGAAATGAAGTGTTCTAATATTGTATACTTTCTAAAAATATTCCAGTATTGTATAATTTATCAAAAAACCCTGAAGGCTAACTTACCAAGTTGAGCTTTCATCATTCTTAGTAATACTTTTACTGAAAAAAACTATTTTCTCTGCTTTTTATATTGAAAATTTCAAATCCTCCTAAGTTGAAAAATGAATATAATGAAGTACCAGTTTATTAACATTTTGCCAAATTTGCTTTTAGATCTTGCAGACTCAACTCACTCATGTTAGTGCTCTGTGTGTATATACATTATATGTATGTTAGCTGTCTATGTTTGTGAGTACTGCGCCTGTGGAGTCAACCAATTATGGATTGAAAACACTTGAAAAAATGCTTCTCTACTGAACATGTGCAGGCTTTTTTTTTTCCTTAATACTTCTAAACAGTACAGTATAACAACTATTTTATAGCTCTTAGTCATTTATAATACCTACTGGTATTATAAAATAATTTAGGGAAGCTTTCCAGTATACAGGAAGATGTGTGTGTAAATACTCCACCATTTAACAATATAGGACTTGAGCACCAGTGGATTTTGTGTGTATGTGTGTATATATGTATGTGTAATTATATCTATTATGTACATTTTATACATAACATACAATAATTAGTTATATACTATATATTATGTTTAAGTAATAGTATATACGTGCTTTTTATGTTTGCATTATGTGTTAAATAATACAATTTTTGAATCATTTGAAACTAAGTTAGACATTGTGACATTGCCCCCATGAGTCCTTCAGCACACATCCATTAGCATGTATCCATTAAGGCTTATTGTTCTTGATCTCCTGATACCATCTAATATGTAGCTACATATTTACAGTTCTCCCATTTTTTATCCTCAAAATATCCTTTTAAGATACTCTGATTTAAGATGTTATAACAAGACAGAAGGATAGAGCAGTATTCTCTTTCTGTCTTTTTGTTGTTGGTGGTGATGGTGTGGTCATGGGGCCTGAATTCTAGGCCTGGGTGCTGTCCCTCAGCTCTTTAGCTCAAGACTAGCATGCTACCACAGCACCACTTCTGCTTTTTTTTTTTTTTCTGCTATGTGGTGCTGAGGAATCGAACCCAGGGCCTCATGCATGCAAGGCAAGCGCTCTACCACTGAGCCACCTTCCCAGCCCTTCTCTTTATGTCTTATCCAGTGTTCCCAGTTGTTACATGCTTGGTATGGAGACACTCCTAACTTCTCTTCAGAATATTCTAGACATTTCCCTGAGACTACTGAAAAATTATCCAATTATTTTTTATTTGTATATAGAACCAATATAATTTTTAAAATACTAATATTATTTAACTTTCTCAAATTTACTCATTAGCTCTAGAGGAATTTTTCAGAGTGCAAAGAGTTCTCATATCTCTAGTCATTTAATCTGTGAACAATGACACTTTCAAAGAAAATCTATGGTGTGTGTGTGTGTGTGTGTGTGTGTGTATGTGTGTGTGTGTGTGTGTGTGTGCGTGTGCATGCGTGTGTGTGTGCGCGCGCGCGCGCTAAAGGCTAGGACACTGTCCCTGAATTCTTTTTGCTCAAGGCTAGTACTTTACCACTTTGAGCCATAGCTCTACTTCTGGTTTTCTGGTAGTTAACTGGAGATAAGAGTCCCATGGACTTTCCTGCTGGGTCTGGTTTTGAACTGCAATTCTCAAATCTCAGCTTTTCTGGGTAGCTAGGATTACAGGTGTGGGCCACCAGGGCCTGCTTATCTCTGTGGCTTTTATTTTCTACTTCCTGTCTTATTGTATTGTCTTAATAATAAATGTGCTGGGAACAAATACCCTTGTTGTACTCTAAAGCTTACAGGAAAAGAGTTTAATGCTTTCTTGTTAAAGAGAGATACTAACATACTGTCTTGTGAGTATCAGTGTTATTGGTTCACCCTTTGTCCTTTGTCTCACAATTTTTTTATTCTTATCTGTCTTTTTTTCTTTTATTTTTTAAATTTTATTTTATTGTCAAGGTGATGTACAGAGAGGTTACAGTTACAAATGTAGGGTAATAAGTACGTTTCTTTCCCACTTTTCCTCCCCCAGTCCTCCCCTCCCCCCCCAGTTGTAAAGTTCATTTCCAAAAAAGAGAGATACTAGCCCTAGTGTTTCCACACTTTTTAAAAAGTATTGATATCTTCTTTTTCATATTACTAAAAGCATAATTTAATTGTATTTTAAGCTTATGTCAGTTACATAGGGAGAGATTTTGTTGCTAAATACATATTTGCATTGTATTCTACCTCTCTGCCACATTCTTCATAGATGCCTTTTATCACGTGAGGAGGTACCTTTTTATTTTCAGTTTTCTCACATTTTGTCAACTCTTTTTTCAGTGTTTATGGACATTATCATATTTTCCTTTATTGTGCTCATATTGTGATTTTCATTTATTATTAATGTTCAGTCAACTTTGTATATGTGTAACTTGAGGTCATGATGTGCCCTTATCTTTACGTATTGCTGAATTGCTTTGCTTCTGTTTTGTTAAGTGTTTTTGCATCTATATTCATGAAAGGATATTACACTGTCATTCTCCAGTAATGTTGGAGGTTGATCAGGTTTTGGAACAGGGCTCTGCTGATCTCATAAAATATGTTGGCAGGTATTTCTTCAGTATTTGGAAAGTGTGGGTGGGATTGGTGTTATTTCCTTCTTACATTTTTAGTACAATTTTTATAAGATTTATTTAGGATCTCCAAGTGTTCTTAGAGATTTGGTATTATTTTTTTGAGACAAAGTCTTGCTATATGCAGCCCTGTGTAGCCTCTAACTTAAGATCTTCCTACCTCAACTTTTTGGGTGCTAGAATTATAGGTGTGAACAACCATGTTTGGCTTACTTTATTTTTAAACCAGACATAGGGCTCTTTGTTTCCTCTTGTACCTTCTTTGGTAAGTGTGTAGATCCAAAAAAAAGTATCCATTTCACTT